AATACCACGGCACCAACTGCTTTATCTGCCCCTTCTCCCCCCCAGTGAGGCAGCAGATCCCACTGGCACGGCAGGTTTCAGGAGTCCCACAATGTCACAGATCCATGGGAATCATGGATGCTGCCTGGGACAGGCAAGGAAACCTGCCCCGACACTCCGGCATCTCCCAAAATGTGGATCCCTCCTGTCTCCAGGATACCCAAAAGCTGGGTTTTTTTTTCTCCTCTAACATCAATTCACCCACTAAAAATCATTCCTTGCTCTGACAAGATTTCTGTCCTGTTGGGATGCTGAGTGTGATCACGAGCGCTCTGCAAAAGTGTCCCCAAGGTGTCCCTACAACTCTTCACGTGGCAGCTGAAGAGCAGGAATAACAGCAACCAGCAATTAACGGCTGATCCCTACCATTTCTGACAAACCCCAGCATTCTGGGCAAGCTGGAGCCGGGTGCCAAGTGCTAGAGAGGACAAGTGTCCTGTGGGGCACAAGCGTCGCTGTCCCTTTGGGACGGGCACAGGGACGCGGGGTAGGTTGGACGAGCAGCTGGCCCCCCACAGCTCCGTTTCCAGCCTCTCCTGGTGCAGAAATCCCATAATTTTTAAGGTTAATAAAGCCCTTGTTTGCTTAAGACAGCACCTGTTTCTATGGTGACACTTGCAACCCGGAGCCTGTTTATCAGCCGGCGACGAGGAACGCGCTGACAAACGCGAGCGCCGGAGAAGACACCGCGGTGAAGACCAAGAGTGGTGCCAGGACCTCTGGGAGCAGGGATGCTGCGGTCCCTGGGCATCCAAACCTGCCAATCCCGCATCCATGCGTTCCCCACTCCGCTCTACAAAGCCATGGGGGTGACTGGAGCACCGGGAGCTGCACCCGGAGCACCCGCTGTGGGGGGAAAAGCCACTCCCGGGATGGGCGATGGGTGGGAATGGCTTTCCTTCAAAAACCTTGGATGCAGTTCCCGTCTCCGACCCCACACTTGACTCTGGCAGCTCCGTGCCTCAGCTGCCCCCATGCCCTGTCCTGGGGAGGGGTCTGTGGAGGCAGCTGAGCCGAGCTGTGCCCGTGGCAGCAGCGCCCGGCGGGTCCCGCTCCGCTCCAGCCTGGCGCAGGATTTCTCCCGGCTGGCAGAACTGGTTTCCATAACGACTTTCTGTTACAAACATATTTTGATAAAAATAAAGTTAAAGCAGCGAGGTTTTAGTGGAGTACAAATTCGCTGCTCTCGCCCTCCCCCTTCCTCCTCCCCAAGGAGGGGGAATAAAGACGGAAAGCTTTCCATTTGAAGGGCAGTATTTTCTCCCTTCTTTTTCTTTCCCCGCTGAATACAAAATGGAAAACCTTGTTTACTGGGTTTCGCTGTAAACTGGTTCCGACTCTGCCTGGTTACCTGATGCTCTACAGTATATACAGGATAATGTGATAAATTCATTTCCAATTCACTGCATTATCCTTTGAATATTTTAATGACTCATTGAATGGAGTAAAAAAAAAAAAAAAAAAGCTATTTCAAATGAACAATTATGCTGCATTAGAGTAAAGGCTGATTATATTTAAACACTGCTTCCATGGATAACGGGACATATCGACCTCCGCCTATAAGAGCTAATTTGGCTCTTATCTCTAAATAATTTTACACTGCAAATTACCATGAAAACCTAAAGGGCTTTAAAAACATTCATCAAAAGATATTATTCCACTTTGTAGCAACATTTTTATTTAAATTATTTTGAATAGGAGTGAAAGCATCTCTCCTGTTTGACAATCGGAGCAGCGACGGAGCAGCAGCTGATAAGGAACGGCACCGATGGGATGGGATGTTCCATCCCCAAACCCCACCTGGGAGAGCAAATTCAGAGCCAGATCCCAAACTTGGTGGCGTGCCAAAGTACTGCAGCACCTAGAAGTGGCATTTTAGTGCTGCTGGAGCTGCTTCCCTCCGATCTGGGGGATTGCAAAGCCGGGGTGACGCTGAGGAGATACCCGAGGGATGCCGGGATGATACCCGAGGGATGCTGGGGGGGTGCTGGGATGATGCCAGGGCAAAGCCAGGGGGATACTCAAGGGATGCTGGGGGGTGCTGGGATGATGCCAGGGCAAAGCCAGGGGGATACCTGAGTGATGCTGGGATGATGCCAGGGCAAAGCCAGGGTGACACCTGAGTGATGCTGGGATGATGGCAGGGCAAAGCCAGGGGGATACCTGAGTGATACTGGGATGATGGCAGGGCAAAGCCAGGATGATACCCAAGTGATGATGAGGGGATGCTGAGCAATGCTGGGGTGATACCCAGGTGATGCTGGGTTGGTGCTGGGATGATGACCCAGTGATTCTGGGGGATGCTGGGCAATGTTGGGGTGACACTGGGCAATGCTGGGGTGATACCCAGGTGAAGCTGGGTGATGCTGGGGTGACACTGGGCAATGCTGGGTGATGCTGGGGTGATGCTGGGCAATGCTGGGGTGACTCTGGGAGCTGCTAGGGTGATACCCAAGTGATGCTGGGCGATGCCGGGGTGATGCCCAGGTGATGCTGGGTGATGCTGGGGTGACACCCAGGTGATGCTGGGCAATGCTGGGGTGATGCCCAGGTGATGCTGGGTGATGCTGGGGTGACACCCAGGTGATGCTGGGCAATGCTGGGGTGATGCCCAGGTGATGCTGGGCAATGCTGGGGTGACACTGGGCGATGCTGGGGTGACACCCAGGTGATGTTGAGCACTGCTGGGGTGACACTGGGCGATGCTGGGGTGACACTGGGCGATGATGGGGTGACACCCAGGGGATGCTGGGCAATGCTGGGGTGACACTGGGCGCTGCTGGGGTGATACCCAAGTGACACTAGGTGCTGCTAGGGTGCTGCTGGGTGCTGCTGGGGTGATGCCGGGGCACTGCCAGGCGCGGGGGCTCCGGCAGCCCCCAGCCCTGCCGCCGGCCGCCCCGTCCCTCCCGCAGGAAGGCACTTGAAAGCCCCTCTCTGCACCAAAGCAACAGAAGGTGTCATGTAAAGCCTACACGGTTATTTTAGAGCCAGTGTGCAAATAAGCCTGTCAGCTGAAGCTCCTCGGAGCCAAGACTCCCATATACCCCCCAACGATCTGCATTTCAACGAGACACCATGTGGCTGAGCCCGCCGGCTCCGCCGCAGCCATTTGGGGCTGGGGGCTTGGGAAAACTCCCACTGCAGCCCCGGTGGGACACGCTGGGACCCCCCCTCTGCACCCTCAGCAACGGGCACCGACCTCAGGGCTTGAGGGAAGTGGGTTTGTCCCAGTGCCCTGCCAGGACGGCGCTGGTTTGGGTGGTTTATAGTGCAGGGGGGATTTATACGCATTGCTGTGTGTGTGTGTAGATGAGAGATCCGTGTACACACACCCACGAGAGATAGATGGGATATATATATATATCCCATCATTATAGAGATCATATCAATATAGGCATTTTATATATCATATCACAGAGATTCACAGAATAGCTCACACTGGAAGGGACCATGAGGATCATCGAGCCCAAATCCCTGCTCATATATGTGTATATATATATATATTTATATATATTTTATATATATATCTCATGATAAGAAAGCTTAAGGAATAGTTGGGGTTGGAATCGGCCCCATCCCTGCAGAGACAAATCACCTGGGCACGGGAAAACCCTTTCCCTTCCCAAAAAAATCTCCTTTTCCCGCCCTCCAGCGTGGCCTGACAAGGAATTTCTGACCTTACAAATCACAAACTGAATCGCCCAAATGCCAGGGGAAAACCAAATAAAGCACCTTCCGTTCGTGCTGAAGGTTTTAATCCTGCAAGTCCCTTCTTTGCTGAAATGATTTCGTACTCAAAAAAAACCAAAAAAAGAAAACCACAATAATTAGCAAGAGCCTCGGAAGGATCTGGGTACAGAAGGAAAAACAAGAGCTTGGGCTCCTTTGCGTTCAGTAAATATTAAAATTAATGAGAGACTTTCAGGACCCTGTTGTTAGAAATGCAGAAGGGCTTCTGTGAAGGATTAAAACACAAAACAACAACAACAAAAAAATAAGCCCTGTACACAAATTCCTGCAATTATTCCCAACGCTTTCTATTTTTCAGCCAATTATGAAATTCATGGAAAGTATTAATATCCGATTTTAATTTGCTTAATATTCCCATTAACAATAAAAAGTCTAATTAAGGTATCTGTACAAAGAGCCCTCAGCAGTAATTTCAGAGAATAATAGAGGAGAACGACGAGATATTTCTTGTTAAATGCTCGCTGTAAATTAATTGATATCTTAATTAGGCTTTAGTACTAAGATTATTAGTTAGATTGATTCAGGGCTGAAACATCTCATTTTTTAAGGGATAAAAGCAAGCAGGAGAGGAACAAACTGATTTTCCAAAATATTTCTGAAGGGAGAGCAACGACACACATTTTGGGAGCAGGGGTAAGGACTCATCCCATGAGCACAGAGCTGGGAAGCACCAGAATTCAGCCCAAACCCATTTTCCTCCTGTTTGCTTCACCAGACTCAAAAGCTTTTTCTCCTCCCCAAAAAATAAAACCCAGAAAGGGAATACAGATTTTTTTTCACCCAAACCACTTTTTTAACCACAAAAACCACCCGGCAGCAAGAGCTGTTTGAAACGACGGGTTGTCTCCACACAGAAAACTGGTGGTGGGGAGTTGGCAAAGTGCTTTTTTTTTTTTTTCCCCAGCATTTCCTTAGAAGAAGAAGGAAAGAAAAAAAAAAAAAAACAACAAACCCAACAGCAATATTTTTGGACCAGCCTGGCTCTATATAGCCTGAGGAAGCACTTCCCTACCTACACGCCCAGCACCATTTACATTTCTCTGGCAAACACTCGTCCCTCGGGATTTCGCTGAGATGCTGCTGCACCGACAGGGATGTGCATCCTATGGGAATCCAGCTCTCTGAAGCAGGACCAGGATGCACCCTGATGCTCAGGAATGCCCCCAAGCTGCCTGGACCCCAATGCATGGACCCCACAGGGGACTCACCAGGATGTCGGTGACCACCCAGTGCCTCCAGTAGCGGTGCCGGGGGTTGGCTCTGTTGGGAGCGTCGGGATCCACCATGACCAGCACGTACTTCTTGTTCTGCAAAGAGAGGAGAGCAGAGCACTGTGGGCACAGTGTGTGAGCAAGGAAGAGCCCCCTCCCAGGAGCTCTATCAGCCCCCAAATCCATGTTTTTCCACAATTCCCCAAGCGCACTTTGATGGTTGATCCACGTTAAACGAGCAGAGGTGAGCGAGGAACGTGCACCAGGGCAGGCCACAAACCTGCTTAGGGTGATTTACTCCTCGTGGTCTAAATCTCTTTAAATACAGGAAAAAATGTGTTTTCTGCCTCCTCTAAATAAAAGGCACCAAGGGGAATTCCCTCTGCTTCCAGCCATCCTCCAACCACGTCCCACCGCGGCGCAGGGCAGAGCGGTGTGGCACAACCACAGTCCCTGAGAGAAGGTGATGGGATATTTTTGGGTGGCCAGGGACAGGCTGGACACCCAAGGGTCCACGGGGGTGGCTGTGAGGAGCCAAACTCTACCTCACACACCCCAAAATAACTAAAAGGTGTTCCAGGGATGCTGCAAGAAGGCAAAGTCGCTGCCTCACCACACATCCAATGGGTCCAGTACCACTTCTGGGTGATGGAAGTGGGCAGAGAGAGCTGGGATTTGTGGATGATACTGTCTCAGTCCCCAGAAAACCCCCACAGCCCACCTCAGGTCCCCACAGCAGGTGCCACCAGCACTGAGACAACGTGGATATTTTGATCTGCTGAGGATGGAGCTGGGTTTGAAGTGACCTCTGGAGGGAGGCTGTGGATAGAAAACCTGCTGATCTCCAGGGATTTGGCAGGACCTCAGGCACCAGATTATCCTGCAAGCACCCAGATTAAGGGATCTATATCCTAATAAAACCTCCAGGTGCGTCTGTCAGCTCACCAGTGGCACCACTCTCCGCTCCAGGGCGGAGGTTTCATAAACAGCTGTGGGATTTAGCCATGCAATTCCCACTGAAATTAGCTGGAGCTCTGTGGCTACATCCCCTGGTCGCTTGTGAAACCAGGCTGGGATTTTCACAGCGAGGTTGTTGGGGCTGACAGAATATTTTTTTTGCTCTATTTCCCAACCACTGGTTGGGGTAAATGGGGCAAGTGAGCCCCGGGGTACTGCCATAGCCAGAGACCCCCTGTGCCCCCTTCCCTGGGCATCCCACCGGAGCCACGCATCCCTCAGCCCCCCCTGCAGACTCCACCTCCACGAGAAGTACCAGTTTAACCAGAAAACGTGGATTTCAACTCATTTAGCAACCAGCTTGCAACAGCTGCAGAGAAAATCCCAAACTCATGCAACCCCCCTGCCCGGGAGCGTTGCCCTGGTCCATTAATCCCAGCCTGGAGGAGGTTACACCAAGCACACAGATATGGGACAAGGGGGTGTGATGGTGTCACCACGTGAGGCCGAAGGTCAGGACCTCAGGGCAGAGCCACCACCTCCCTCCTCATGAACTCCCACAGCTGCAGCATCCCAGGAAAAAAATCCCCCAGCAACGTATTCCTCGTGGCGCTGAAATCGGAGTTTAATGGGAAGGAGGAGAAGGAAGGGGCGGGGAGGGGGGGGGAAAGAAGAAGCCCGACAACCCAAAAACCCTACGCTGGAAGTGTGAAGGAATTTGAGCTCTAACTTTGGGGAGGGTGGGGAGCTGAGCTGAATCTCTCGGCTCCGCTCGGAGCCCAGCTGGTGGGAACAGAACGTGTAGTCATGGGACTGTCATCGTGTGCTGTCCAGGTTAACATGTAGCATTTCTATTACTATTAACAGACTTTCTGCTCCTCACTCCATCTGTTCTTCGAAATAATTGCAGTTGTACAGACCATGCCTTCGCTCCAGGCAGGCTCTGGGGAGAGGATAGTGCTTTTATGCAAAAAAAAAAAAAAAAAAAAAAAAAAAAAATTAGAAAAAAAAAAGGGGGAGAAAAAAATGAAAAGGAAAAAAAAAAGTGTTAAAAAATAACAGCAAACACGAGAATAGAGTGCAAGTGAAGCTAACAGCAGGCTGGGAATTCGGGACAGATTGTGGCCTAGAAAGGTGACGGCGCACGCGGCCGGGGGCCGGCGAGGCCAGACCCCCGTGGGGACGGTCCCCGGGGTCAGTGGCCCTGAGCTGGGCTGCCACCGGGGATTTTTCCCCTCTCCTTACCTGCTGGCCACCCTAAGAACCACAATCCCTCACCTTCCACCTAAAGATAGCAAAGCCCTCCACGACCCGAGTTAATCCTGGCTGCTTAAGGTGTGTCACAGCCCGTGCCAGCTCCTGGGGCTGCACCAAAACCACCCCACAACCCCCTCCCCGACGTCCTCAGGCACTGCTGTGCACCCCAAACACGGGGTAGGTGTGTTTTTTCGCTGCTTGGCAGCAACAGCAGCCTGAGTGCTGGTGATTTTCGGGGGTTTTTTGATGCTGAAATCCCTCCTCGACACAGGCTAACAGCATTAGCTGCTGTCAGGGCTGCAGACGGGAGCCAGCCCGGAGTGACACGGGAGCTGCTCAGCTTTACAAGCATGAACCAGCCCCGGGGATTTTTGGAGAGCAGGAAAGTGGCTTTACATCAGAAAATTCCTCCAGTGTGGAAGAACAGGCGGCATTTTACTGTGCAGAGGGAAGGGAGGAAGGGGGAGAGGGAAGATAAAGCCACTCTGGGCTGCCACAGATGAAAATTCGGGGTAACAAAGCACCCCCGAAGCCCTGTCACCCTTTCCTGCTCAGCCCAGGGCACAGAGGAGCTGCTGGTGTGAGGGACCCAGTGGGGACGTGGTGTGTCCCACCAGTGCCATGGAATCCTGGAATGGTTTGTGTTGGAAGGGACCTTAAACCTCATCCCATTCCACCCCCTGCCATGAGCAGGGACACCTTCCACCAGCCCAGGTTGCTCCAACCTGGCCTTGGGCACTTCCAGGGATGGGGCAAACACAGCTTCTCTGGGCAACCTGTGTCAGGGCCTCCCCACCCTCCCAGGGAGGAATTCCTTCCCAATATCCCATCTAACCCTGCCCTCTGGCAGTGGGAAGCCATTCCCCCTTGTCCTGTCCCTCCATCCCTTGTCCCAAGTCCCTCTCCAGCTCTCCTGGAGCCCTTTTAGGCCTGGAGACCTGGCTCTCAGGTCTCCTTGGAGCCTTCTCTTCTCCAGGCTGACGTGTGACACCGATGGGGTCACCCTTCCAAGGGTCACCCTTCCCTGTTCCCCCGGCCATTCCTCACCCTGGGACACACTAAAATTAGCATTTAGCCACTGCAAGGAGCTGCTGCCTTCCCTAGGGCTTGGAGTCGTGGCTTCACCCCCCAGCTTTGCCCTCCACATCCCTGGGAACGGGCATCCTGCCCTGCTCCACCACCTGACACAGAGCAGGGGCAGCAGAGCTGGTGGCAGGTGACACCAGGGCTGCATCCCGTGTTTTGTTTCCAGAGGGAAGTGGCAGCAAAATCTCCAGTTATTCCTGCAGAGAGCATTAGCATCTCCAATTAGGCACAGGTTTAGGAAACTTGCTCGGAGCAGGCAGGGACTTTTCCAAGAGGCAGGCGGGCAGGAGAGGGATTTGTGCGCCGGGGATACGCACACAGAGAGCTCAACAGATCCCGCGGAGCCGGGGCTGCACAGGAATTAAAGACTTATCCAAATGAAAGCAAATAGGGTGTTAAAGCGACACACATGTAGAGCGAGCGGTTTCCTTGGAAACCAGCGCACATGGAAGTGCCACACGTGCAGTGCTCCGGCATTTTCGGCAGTGCCAGGGTGGCCATGGGGGCTCTGCCCTGCCAGGGGTGCCCCTGCTGGGCTGGGGATGCAGCGGGATGAGCCCAGAGGTGCCCACGGCATCCCGCTGGCATCTGTTTCTCCAGGGTGTGGAGAAAAAATGGCTCCAAGGGCACTTCCTCCTGGGTGGGAAGGGGAGATGGATGGTGCTCAGCTCTGCTGGCCCTGCTTGCCTTAGGAATTCTATCCCAAAACTAAAGGACAGAGCCCCAGCCAGGCGCCCAGCCCAGCACCTGCTTCCCAAGGCGGGTTTGGATGGTTTTGAAAAGTCCACCTGGATCCTCCCCAGCTCCTCCATCCCTCGGAGCTGTTCCCTGTGCACACCTGCCTGGAGCACGTGTTGTTCCCTCCTGGAAGCGCCCAACCCCTCGCCACACAAGGGATGAGGTGAGAATTCCAGCTGTCCCATTGCCACCCACACATCTTTTCCAGCTCCTAAGGAATGTCCCCAGGTGGGGAGCTGCTGTGGAAGCAAATCATGGCACCGACGGGTTACGACGGTATCTGAGCCAAAGGGCCTTCCACCTCCCTGGCATTTCAACATCCCATATTATCCTGCTGGAAAGGATTTGGGGGTGACAGATGGCACGAGACGATCCACACCAGTCCCTTTGGTGTGGAGAGGGGATGGGGAGGTGCATCCCAAGCAGGCAGCGCCCACACCGGAGCCAGGCAAGAGCCGGGTTTATGCAACCACAAACCAGAGAAACCAAATATACCCAAAACGACTTCCCAGAGCGGGGCACGAGCTCCTGGATAGGCAGGGAAGGTGGGAAAGGTACTCAGAACCTTGGGAAACATTACTGCAGCTCTCCTAAGGGACGTCTCAAGGGTCCAACCCATGTCCCACCAGCGCAGGAGTCGGAGCGATGCCGCTGCTCCCGCGAGGTGGAAGCGCCGCAAGCACCAGCTGAGAGTCAATCTGGGCTTCTTTCTTGGCTTGTCCCCAGTACTGAAAAGTTTCTATAACAGGCACCGAGTTCGCAATTCTGCTGCTGCTGCTGCTGCTTCGCCAAAGAGAAATTCCAGCTCCCTCCTCGGTGGCAAGAAAATTGTTTGCGACCGAGTTGTTGTGGCTCCGGGAAGGAGCTGCCGAGCGTGGCAGGATTTCACCTTCTTATTTTAAACCTGCCCCTCACCACTTCCACGGGCAGAAATAGGTCAGCAAAACGAACCCTGCTCCGCAGGACTTGCCCAAGGGAACTTCATTGACTTTCCAACACGCTGCAACTCTCCCCACATCCCTTCGCTCTCCCTCGGGACTCGCTCATCGGCCAAATAT